AAAAAAAAACAAAAAGGTTTATCTATAGCTATATTTACCTACGTAAATAACAGTGATGTGAAGAATTTCCTGACAAAAGTTTTCAACCTAAGCAGCAGTATTCTTAATAGAGCCTGTGATTGTCTAAAAATAAATGCTGGAATATTTTCAGTGTTTTATTTAGCGTTCAAAAGAACATGAATTCTATAGGATGAGAAAAGGAATTTGATGCTTCTCTGAAGAGGAAAATTAGTTATAATGTCATCTTTATGGGAAACTTCCTTCTTGGAAAATCCATGTTTTGATGCTACAATAGAATAGATAGCTTTCAGTATGCAAATTTTGCATTAGATACCATAAATGTGTAGGCCACACATAGAGGATAATCTAAAAGGGCATATTTTATTATCTTTCCAATTTCAGCAGAAACAAAACTGGGAAAAGCCCACTTAACAATCTCAAACAACTGCTTCTCTCCATTTCTTTTTCTTTGGCCAACAACAGTCCAGTTTTCTAACTGAAAATAAAGTCCAGGACCTGCTCTTCACTGTTATTATCACATGAGGTAAACATTTTCAAATGTACAATGAGAATCAAAGGTACTTCTTGTAAAATACTTCTTACATTCAATACACATAGTTAACACCCCAAGCACTTATTTAAATAAACTAAGAAGTATGTACAGAGAACTGATGTGTCTACAAAACCTATAAGAATTTGCATTTTACCAAACACCCCAAGTAATTACAGTAGCATTGACACTTATACTAGATTATTAGAAATATTTTGTCAAGTCTTGTAAATATTTGATGAAAAAAAAGAAAAGATGCCCTACTGGATGAAACGTCTTTCTTCACTGACATTCTTAAGTTACTAAACTTCACACTATACATCATTTCTCTGGTTCGAAATATTAAATGATGCTTGAATCAAATGTTTACTTGGTCTATGAAGTTAATTTATCAAAATCTTCCTACAATGTCTTTGGACACCGTCTAGACATAATAATTTTCTTTAGGTTTTATGACATTACAGAATTTTATTTTTAGGCCTTGTCTGTGTGCTCTGCTGTTTCACACGATGTTTTCTACAAATTATTTCTGACAGTTATCAAATTTTAACTTTAATTCAGATAAGTAATACTAGCAAGGTACTTGTTTGAAGGTATCTGTCTTGCATAATTACACACATTGTAGAAGTTAGGTATCTAATGACGATAAATGCAAGACAAAAATAGAAAAAAAAATAGAAAACACAGAACTTTATCTTGAAATAAATTTCATCCTAAAATAGCTTAATACACGATGCCCCACATGGATATTAATATATCTAATTATACAGTTACATGGCATCTTTTCCAGACTAATTTATACCTGTTATTTTTGTTTTAACTTCAAGTCGATGTATACTATTGTTATTTTTAAGATATACCTTTCAAATGCATCATTATGCAAATCAGTAGCTTTATTTAAACCACTTAAATTATACAGTAGGCAAATTGTGACATTTATAAGAGTTACTTTTCTGCGATTTTCCTCTATATTTTAATACATTCTTGAAAAAGCTAATTGCTTACATACTGTAATCATCATGACGCTACCTACCACCTATCCTGCTGGTGGATGAAAGAGTTCACAAACCTTAATATTGAACATACTGTCACTAAAATACATGGTCAGTACTTTAGCTGCTCAGTGATAAGCTTAACATTGTGGAAGATCTCATTAATTCTTTCCTCTGCAGAAATCAGACCCAAGAGGGCTTTCAAACTCATCCAGGTCACTGCTCTTGCGTCCAGATTAGAGCAGGAAGGCTGGAGGATGTCAAGCCACCTGTCTCAGTCCTCTTGCTCTCTGCAGCCAAAATGAGACAAAAACCTCCGGTCCTTTGTTCTGTCCACTACTCTATGGTGCTTTCTAAAACTATGCCTGTTATTGTGAACCTCAGATTCTCAATAAGTCCTAAAGTCAACCTAGACTAGAATAAATGAAATACAGCACCATAGTTAGATTAACAAGATCCGCAGTAGCAGCAGCAGCGGTATAATTATTCCAAACTTAACAAATACGGCATCGTCCCTAGTCACCATCCTGCCTTCAGACTGTCAAATCCATAGGATCTGTCAACAGGCAAAATTGTTTTCTGCAATTTTCATTTCATCATGTTGTTTGCCCGAGAACCTGTAAAGTCTCCCCATGACCTTTTAGGGCTCCAACCCCTTCCAGTGGTTGCCAGTTATGTTCTCTGAAGGGTCCTCATACGGGCTGTACTGAAACTCTGTTTCTGTGTGATAGCATCAGTGTATCTCCAGCAAGAATGTGAGATGCACAGACACTTGGAGTGTCTTGGCTCATGATGTCCTCCTGCTGGGATCCCCAGCTGGTGCACCCTGGCCCCGTATCTTCTTGTATTATTATGCCATCTTGCCATCCCTTTCTTCCAGGAAATGTGTATTACACAATGCTTCTCCTTTTCCTTACCATCATTAAAGTTGTCAATGCCAACCTGAGCGTCACACCTTGCACTGTCCTACATCACAGCATTCACCTCATGGGGTAGGCATTGATTTAATAACCAACATGTAAGTCCTACTTTAGCAAACATCATCAATCATATAATGACATCAACTTCTTTCAAGAAATAGTCATCTATTGATGGCACTAAATTTATTTACTTTAAATATAAATGGAATTGGCTATTTTATGTCAGAAGCAGGCATACCTTATCTCCTGGTTTGTGGGGAAAATTTGTAAGTTCTCTCTTGAAATTAGGCCAAGTGTTACAATCTACTTTGTAAAGTGAGTAATGAATTAAAGTATTAAATGTTGTATAAGGCCTGTATTCATCCACATGTTCTTGAAATAAACCAAATCTCATTACTTTCCCAACATTAATCGCATCTGCTACCTTAATTTGAGTATGTTGGCATTAGGCCAACACTTAAAAGGGCAAAAGAAGGCGTTTCTGTCCCGTTAGTATACACATTTGAAAGTTAAATCAAGTTCTCTTTGTATTCTATTGGAGAAAGAACACAAATAAATTGTTCTTCACTGGCAAAAACCAGGAACATTTTTGTCCTTTTATGTCACAGAAAGACTTTAAATATGTATTTATTGAGCAGCTGCTACAGCAGACATGGAGGTATTCATGAAGATTAATGTCAAAAGCAGTTCTTTATAGGAGTTTACTGCCTACTCTATCTGTGCAATTTATTAAAAAGAAAAATCATGGTTGAACAG